TAAATACCAGGAATTCCCGACTGATTTAATTAGCCGACGCGTGGATCCTACGACGAATATCCATACAAATGGCGCGAAAACGCGTGTTCAATAGCGACGGGTCGACTTTCATCGGGCGAAATTGATGGCTGTTTAGGCGAACTTAATGAAAACGAGCCTCGCCTTTCTCGCCCGTCTCTGTTCCGCCTCGCTCGTCGCCTCTCTCCCACCCCTTCTGGCATTCTTCCCGCCGGAATTATGGTATATTTATCACTGTTTCTCTGGTGGAAGACAAGGCTGCCAATTAGCCGACGCCAATCATCGTCTTAAATCACGACTCGTCCGCTAAAGGTTACCCGGATTAACCCGACATCACGTCGAATTAAGTCGTGCTCGTTGCTCGACCGCTTTAGATTCCCTATCGACCATCCCGACTGTTCGTTGCCCACTTCCTTATTCGCGTCGAAAAGATGGGAAAATGTACATTTCGAAACCCTTTGCAACCCTTCACAATTTCATTCCATAAATATTTTATCGATCCAATAATATTCAACGCGACTCTGGTCGGACAAGATAGCGAAATTACCGAGTGCAAAATTATTTTATATTTTTTACTACCGAAACGTGTCAGATTGTTACGATGAAAAATATTTCTGGCAGAGGAAATAAAAAAGTTTGTTTTCTCTCGGTATGGCCAATTTATCCCGACCTAGTCCGTCCACCTCGGAGCAAAGAACCGATGAGCCGTGCCACCCTGAATCGTCTCTTAAGCAGACTGACAAATAACGTTCAAAGGCCACGGAACCAGCAACAAAGACTGGAACAAATTGAACGTCCAATTCCCGTACGATTTTTCGCGATTCGCCGGTGACTCGAACGCGCGTCAGCCGGCGAACAAAGACGGATCTACGGCGGGCCGAGTTGCAGTTAAAAGTGCAACGTTGCACCCTCGGGGAGACTGTGGGAACGCGGCTTGAAGACTTCATTATTTTCGAGGGGAGAAGTGCCCTTTCTCGTTAGGGGATTCCTCGCCCAGGGCGACGCGAGGCCGTCTTGTTAAAATTCTCCGAACTGCATATAACCCGGACCACGCACCAGCCCCCGCTCGTTCTCCTCCCCTCCCCCTTTCTCCTCTTTGTTCATCCTCCATCCCCTCGCCGCCCCCGCGACGCGTCTTATTTCGCGTTCCGCGAGGCTCGTAGCTATTCCAGCGCCGAACGCTATAAACCTGACGCCTCAATCTCGCGATAGACGTCGCTCGTAACGAGAATTGCGCGGCTGAGAGTCACTGACTGGAGTGGGAGTGGCTACAGGACCGGGCGTAGGAGTGGGGAGACGCGTCAATTAGAAATCGTTTCGGTCCAGACTACAATTCGAACGATAAATCACGCGAAAGAGGATCGATTATTGTTTTGCTATTTCGGGGTAATGAGCGTTTCATCTCTATCTATACTTTTATAGAATTTCGCCTCGATAACTTAAAAATTGTAGCAAAAATACAGCTTTTGGGGAAATGATATCATAACATATACATGGTGGATCACTTCAAAATAAAATCTTTGTAGAGAGTAATTAATCGACGTGAAATTCGCTTAAAAACTGTAAAATTTGAGGGAGCACTTAAGGAGATATTCGAGAGCACTTAATAAAATCCCAATTTAAGGATACGATAATCGAGCCTGCTCGTCGAAGGGTCGATGAGGCTAACCCCTCGTAACCTCGCTCCGATTGGCCCGGCGTTTAGGGGATGATTCCAGGCACGATACCGTCGCGTCGCCGGTTGGCCGGATTTAATTAATCGATCGCACGCATTACCGGCCGACAAATGGTGGCCCGGTGGTTAGAACGCTCGCATTTAATGTCGACGATCGTTCGTCACGAAGAATTAAACAAGTTCCGCCGCGGAGATGGATTCACTTTCGCGTTCCAACCCCTGAATTTCCACCGTATAAACTTGCCTAATTTACAACAATTTTTATACAGATCTATTTACTACAGAATTTATCTCCTCTTCCTGAATAAATACAAAATTATAAATCAGATTTTGAAATTATTGTATTACTAGCACAATTTGTCGAAGGAATTTTGTAAGATTTGTGAACGATGTTAACCCTCGAACAATTAAAACTATTACTAACATTCTACCCCTTCAAATTAAAATAGATATTTTTAGTAAATCTCCCACCGTTTCTCAGAATTTCTAAAACTAAAAACAGTTGCGTTCGAAATTTGCGTCCAGATAAAAATGTTTTCCATCGGCGAGGTTCGCCATCGCAGAAAGCCTGCTCCAGCATCCGGAAGGAGGGTCGCGAGGGTAAGGAGGGGGGGTGTGTGTGGCGCAAGGGTGGCAGGGTGGTTTCATAAGTTATCGATTGAAAGGGACCGGTGGTGGGAAGAGTGTCAGTTTCCATGGCGACCGAACCTGCGCCCTGCAACTTGGACGTTTACCTTAATGCCCGGGAATTACGGGACGTGATTTTCACCCCGGTTTTCTCCCTCCCCTCTCCCTTTCTCCACCGTCGAGGACGCTTTAGGCGATAATGTAATTTTATCTGCGCCCCCGCCCTCTCTCTCTCCTCGACGAACTTCCACGGTCGTCTACGCTCCTCACCCTCCCCCTCCCGCGTACCACCTTCTTCCACTATCCCACCCCCTTGTTTCAACCACCGACGATCGACGGGCGACAACGTTTTCTTCGGCAAACAACGTTAGTTCATTGGCCGGCGGCGAGGAATTAATTGGATTCCCGGGAAATTAATTGCGGCAAAAGCCACACCCGGCCCCCGGAAATTAGTGCCCCTAACGTCGCGGAGTTTTCGCCTTTAAACGGGAGAACCCGTGACGGGGGGAGGAAAAAACTAGACGATCTTGGCGATGGCCACGAACCCTTGACGGACTGGACCATTAACGTTTCAGCGATTTTGACGATCGGGGGTGGTATCGATCCCTGGAACCGAGAGGGCGCGAGAAGACGTTGGTCTCGAATCCTTCCTTTTTACTTTTATTAACGCACACGCTCAAATTTTGCAATTTTGTACTCGACAAAAACCTATCTCCGCTAGAAATTGCAAGGGTAAATAAACAACGTTGAAAATCGAGGAGAGAACCGAGTTTGGAAATTTGACAAAACCGGGGAAGAAAAATAGGAAAAGCCTCGCGGAAAATAGATACAGAGTAATTTCTATTTAAATTTAATCAATCCGAAGTACAGACGAATTTTTTCGTTCGGATTTGCTCGATTTTAATAAGCACAGATTAATTTCTATTTAAATTTAATTAATCCGACGGCGTGCCCGGGCAGCATTTTTTCAGGGAAGATTTTAATTTTTCAACGCGCGGATCGTCAGAGAAAATTCTGATCAAGTGTTGCGCGCTGGATCGTTGCCACGGGCACGATCCACCCCTAACTACGCCGGTGGATTGGCGAGCCACCCCCTCGGGGGCTGTGCCAACACAAGCCCGCATTAGCTAACTGCGCCCTGATTCGTCGTCGGATCGATCCGAAAAACGAGGAAACTTAACGCGAATTACGTCACCGGCAAGAGAGTTAATTCTGGCGAAATGAAACGAAAGCAGCGTCGATTGCGGCGAAAAGTCAACTCATTTGAAGAAATTAAACGGCGGAAAGAAAATGTTGCCAACACCGACGATATTCATTATCGTCGATCGATCCAACGTCCCTCCATTAATTTCTGATTACTATTTCACCGATGGTCGTATGTTATATAAAATCTGAACTTTACGAAATAAATTACATTTATAGAAAGTATTTATGGTGTTATCTAATAAAGTTAAAGGATGGAATACGTCGTAACAACCCTTGGCTTTTATTTCACACAAAACAAAGGCAATTTCACGACACCTTGAGATTCTAATGATTAAAAAATTCTTTCAAGTTACAACTCGACCCGAAATTGCGTACGAGTTATATCATCGCGAGGTTCCAGGTGAAGAAGCTGTCCTCGACGTGAAAAAAACCTTAAATTACGACCATTTATATTCTCCGGAGAAATCCACCCCCTAGTGATCCTTCTACGAGCCCGAAAAGGCGGGGTCTCGATTCTTCGAGAGGGAGAGTGATACCGTTACCATGGAGTTATGTAAATCGTCGGATTACTTGTCCCTGTAAATTGGAATTCAGCCAGGGTAGGGGTTAGCGATGGCCTCGAGACGCGTCGAGCAAAAAATTGCTAAAAATATTCTAAACAAATTCTACCATCACTGAATACTACGTCATGAAATATTCAAAATACCTAGAAGACATTTTCTACGAAATTTTCAACCCTTATTTTTGGTACTTTTATACGATCGACAATTTGGAAATTTATATTCAGTGATCTGTTTGAAAAAAGGAATCGAAACTTGCAAAATGTGTGCATGCAGTGGCCATCGCTGAGAAGGGTGTGCCACCCCCGAGGTCTAACGATGAAACGAGACGGGGTGAAGCGAGGGCAAGGTGTCACCGTCCCCTTGGCGCAGCGAGGAGCACGAAACAGGCGCAGAATCGCATCGAATCGTCCCTCGGGTCGTGTTACATACATTAGCTAAACGGCGGCTCTGATTGGCTCCCATCTACAGCCAAGGCTTTCATCAACTCCCATTCTTCTTGGGGCCAAATCGTTGGGGTGTAACTCCCGTCCAAGATTAGAAACAATCCCTTTATCATCGACCAAAATTGTAGTCTGGCCTCTGCGTTTCGAGGGTGCAAAAGAGGGATGGTTTTCTCGCAACGCGAGTCAATTGGGGATGACAAAGACCAGCTATTTTCTCGAAATTGTTAAGCACATCTCTACGATTTAAAAATCTGAATTTCAGGACGGAAACGAAGAACTTTAAAAACAATTTCCTGTTTCCTCGAACGACCATCTTACAAAGACGTCGATAGTCGATTAAATTCGAGCAGACGCAATTTCTCGACGATTCAGACAACTTCGAATTGTACGCTACACACTCGACTTGTCAGAATTTTGTATCAAGGGAACTATACACACAGATATACATATATACTTATTAAGATCGTGATGAAAGCTACTCAGCTTTTCGTGCAGGCGAACGAAGCAGTGACCCTGGACGATGTGTTGATTTATTTGGGCAAGTATACTAAATCCTCCTAACCTAATCTTAAAAATTCTAAATGGATTTAATCGAACCCTAAAATTGTACTTTTGCAATCACGTTTACGAAATTATCCGCGACTAATTACGGCGCGAATTTTGATTTAAATCTCACGTAGACAGTTCGATACTCAATTATCTGTGAATCGCGTCCTCTTATTAGGCGAATTCGGCACGTATCAAAGGTACCTTTTCGGCCTACTGACGGTGTTCTGCTTGTTCCTGATCTTCGTGTACTTCACGCAATCGTTTCTCACCATCCTGCCGAATGAGTACTGGTGCAGACTTCCGCGGGTCGAGGGGGTGTCCGTGGAGAGATTAAAGAAGATCATGATACCCAGCTCGAAAGTGGTCCCTTACGAGGGCCATCAGTTATCCTACTCGAGATGCTGGATATACGATTTGCCTGTGAAGCAGGCGCTCGCCGCGAACAAACCCGACGAAAACTGGCCGTTGAAGAAATGCAAAGCCTGGGAATATAAGCTCAGCTTGTCCGGCGTGCCTTACATGTCCGTCGCCGCGGAAAATAATTGGGTAACCCAACTATCGATTCACTTTCTCCGCCTTTCTCAACCTTCTCGATTTACCTTTTCTTGCTAATTTTTAAAATAATATTTTACTAGAGTTTCTCTGTTTTTTTATATCATTTCTGCTTCCATTTTCCAGGTTTGCGACGAAGATTACAAAGAAACGCTCGCCCTGAGTGTCTTCTTCGTGGGCTCGGTTTGCGGAGGTCTGGTGTTCGGCTGGCTGGCCGACAAATTTGGCCGAATACCGGCTCTAGTCAGCACAAACATATTAGGATTCATTGGCGGCTTCACCACAGTGTACATCACCAATTTCCCGCAGTTCTGCATCTGCAGGTTCATCGTCGGATTGGCTTACGACAACATCTTTGTGCTCGCTTACATACTCGTTCTAGAGTACGTTGGTCCAAGATGGCGCACCTGGACGGCGAACATGTCCTACGGAATATTCTTCACCGTCGGCGGCGTGTGTTTGCCGTGGATGGCCCACGGGATCGCCAATTGGAGGAATCTCGCGTTGGTGACGTCCATTCCATTGGCCTCTGTCGTCGCCGCGCCGTTCCTTCTTCCCGAAAGCGTCAGGTACCCTTCTTTGGACCCTTTTCAATCTTGGGTGCAGAGATTTTTAGGAAGTCTGCTCCTTTTTAATACTTTTGAAGCACCTAGCAGCGTTTCTAAGACTCTTCGTTTGCATCTATGCTAAATTCTTTCTGGTGGAAGGTGGCTGATCAGCGTGGGCAAGCTCGAGAAAGCTTTGAAGATCATCACCAAGATCGAGAAGGTGAACGACGAAGAGATACCGCGGGATGTCTATGAGGAGTTCCTCAGCGATTCTATCCAAACTTCGGAAGCATTAGCTGCGGAAAGCCACACCATACTCGACCTCTTCAGGACCAAACGCCTGAGGTATTCCAGGACTTAACGCGACGCAAATGTCTATTTTAACCTAGGTTCCATTCGTTGCACAGCTGTTTTTTATAGTCACGATAAACACACGTAACGATACTATTTGAGATGCACTTAAGTGACACTTACGTCTTGTTTACGTTACAAACTGCATAGTGAACATTAAAAACCATTGATCTAGGGGTTCATATCGAGCTTAAAATCGTTTGTAACGATACTTCTTGCGATCGCCACCAGAGGACTACGCTCAACTTGCACCTCTCTCGCAAGTACCATAGAGAAACGACTTGATGTCTAGGCACGCTGATTATTCGTAGTGTTTAGATTCGAAACGTATCGAAACAGAGTATAGAACCACATTAGACGACATTGCCTTCCCCATAGACTCAGAGTATACATATATAGGAATAGGTGATCGATCGAGAGCTTGTGAGAGAACTATTGAGCGTGTGTCCCCCTGCTGGCCACCTACACGATTCACGACCGTTCGCAGAAAGATGATGCTGTTGCTGACGGTGTCCTGGGGCATGATTCAGATGGTCTACGACGGCCACATCAGGTGTTTGAACAGCCTGGGCATGGATCTGTTCACGACTTTCACCGTCGGTTCGGCGACAGAGTTGCCAGCCATGGTACTGATCACCTACACCCTCGACATTCTGGGTCGTCGATGGATGCTGTTCGGCTCGGTGATCATCTCTGGTGTGTTCAGCCTGTGCGCGTCCAGCATGGCTCTGGGCGTCGGTTTCGCCACGCTTGCGTTGTGCAGCAGATTCTTCATCAACGTGGCCTCGAACATCGCCATGCAATACGCGGCCGAGCTGCTGCCCACGGTGATCCGGGCAGAAGGGGTGGCTTTCATCCACATCATGGGATACGTCACGACGATCTTCAGCCCCTTCATCGCCTACTCCAACAGGGTCATGCACAACCTGCCGATGATCATTCTGGGGATTAGTAGCTTTTTCGCCGGGGCCATTTGTCTGTTTCTGCCGGAGACTCTGATGGAACAGTTGCCGCAGACGTTGTTGGTAAATTCGCCATCTTTGGCGAAAGCATACTTGACCGTGGAAACGTTTAAATAGGGCAGGGTTTATTTTTAATACGAGATTGGAGGAAAGCTTCTACAATTTGAAATTATTATGATTCCCTGTTCAGCGAGTTTTATTTGTTTCGAACAAGGAAGGAGAACTATTCGGGATCGACCAAAAATTCTGGACAAATCCGTTCGCGAAAAAGGAGCCCGTGGAGCTGGAGGGACACCATCTACACGCGAAACGTCCAGCCTCACGACCGGCGATACTGCGCAGCAGCATGGTTTCCGGATATCTGGGCAACAGGAGAAGGCTGGAATCCATAGCCCTAAGAAGGGCGAACGGTTTCATCACGTCCGATCCTAGCAGTTCGTTAATGGTCGTCTCGCCCTTCGAGTACCTCAAAATGCTCAGGAGAAGGCCCAAAGAACCAGACAAAAACAAGGATTCAGGCCCAAAGACTCAGACAAAACAAGCGAGAAAATAGTTTATAGTTCTGGAATTCCACTGATACAGTGCATGGATCAATTTAGAATAATCGTTGAGTTAAAGGAGGATTCCTAATTGTCTGTTAATATCTAACCAAAGGGAGCATTTAGTACAAATTATGCTTTCTATTGGGTAAATAAACGGTACTAGAAAATGGTGTTTCAGTGATACTGAGTTTCAATATGGAATATTTTATTTAAATAAGATGATTTTTTGTTACGGAACAGTGTTCTAAAGAATTCCTGCTGTCTTGGTTTGTAAATGACAAAGGCACGAGTGCAATTAATAACAATTAAATAGGGAGGAGGCGGTTTCAGAGCGACGTTTAGTTAATTGTCGAAATTAGCGACAACAGAAGCCCGACACGTGGTCCCGTTTAGCGGCGACACGTTCCCAAACTCGAATTTCGTTTCCTTTTCTCTGAAAACACATAAATCCACGCGGCGACGGTCTTTTCTTCTTGTTTCAGAGACGTTGCCTCGCGCCGTGGGTGGTTGACTAAGAAAAGAACACGGTCAAAGAGGGTAATAAACTCGAGTCCCGTTGCAAATTCGCCGTACAAAACTTTTTACCGTTCTATTTAGAATTCTCAAATCATTCCAGGCTACTGTTTCGAATCCCCATCGTCGATCGTCGTCTTTTTAAAATTTTCACACGTCCCGATCGTATCTAATTTCACGGGGAACAAATCGTCTGTTTCGTGTTCGGGAGTTTTAGCACCGTTACTCGATCTTGGGGAAATTTCGTTCCATCAGGGGGGTAAAACGGGTTCTTTGGTGAAGCCGCTTCTTCAGTTTACCGAAGGAAACTCGAGACAAATTCATGCCTCGTCACTCGACACGACTAATGGACCCATAATGACCGGGCACACCCACGTTCGCCATTCATGCGGAAAATGTGGAACTTCGGCCTCGTTTCATAACGCTTCCTCGGTGGCCATTTTCTATTTTTACTACTTATTCGTGGGGGATTCTATTATTGTTTATTTATAATCATTTACATCGATCTGTATTAATTTGATAATTGCTCGACCTCCCATTGAGGCTTCAAATTTAATATGTAATTTTCTTTAATATCGAGTAATACGAAAGTTTGAAATTAAACCAAGAATTTAACGAAAGATCCGCGTCGCGACGACCCCCGGAAACCGTCGTCCTCGAGTTCCTGGCGGGCCAAGGCGAGCACGGAGAAGTTTTCCGTATTTCAAGGCGGAACGGTCGAGCGTTGACAGCGCGAACGAGCGTCGCTCGTAAATGCGAGATTGCCTGGCCGCTTTTACGAGCTTTCTATCGCGTTTTCGGGATTATTTGAGAAAATGGAATCCTTTTCGAGCGACTCTGTAAGTACGTGCGCGGCGCCGTGGAAAAATCCGTCTGCAGGGATGCGGAATGGCGGGCGAGGGTGGAGCGGACGAACGTCGGAAGGGGGCGGTTTTGTGAAATGCAAACCAGCTGGAAAATCGTAAAAGGCGAAAATGTAACGAACGTAATCGGGCCCGGTGGCCGACGATGGGCGTTGCAGCGAGAGCGCTGGAAAATCGGGAAGGGTGGAACGAGATACCCACCCCCCCGTTGCAGACATACGTCGACTGTTTTATTGCGCGGCGCGTTCTCCAAGAAGGTCTCGTAAAAGGACCGCGAGCTGTAAAAGTTCCGTGGAGGGCAGAGTCGTCGTGTTCGTTATCCGTCGTACTTTGTCGTTATCGCCCTTCGACCTTTCTCCACGGTTTCACCCTAATGACCCGTGGGCGAGGAAAATCGGCCCGGAGCGAAACGCCTTTCACATTTCTCCTTTGGTCGCATTTTGGGTAAATTGTGTTCCGTTGCTCTTAGGTTCAGAATAATAATTGTGAAACCTAACAGAGTTCTCTCGAAAGACCAGAAATTTATGGGAAATTTTAATTGTCAAAAAAACTATAGAAATTTAGGCACTTACTGAATTTTTTTCTTGAAAGTACATAGGATTTCAAGGGTATGTGTATTCACCAAAAATGATTGCAATTGACCCCCGCAACCAAAAATAATTTTTCCAGAACGGTTCGAAATTTTTTAATGTTATTTTTTAATAACTTTTAGCCTCTTTAAAGCCTCAATCACCAAATTGATATTCTTGATTTTTGTCTTATATTGGCCTCTAGAATCTCCCATTCTATATATATATGTATATGTATGTATATCCGCGTACATATTATAACTTAGATCGCGTATTATTCTCAACATAGTACACGTATACAAATAGGAACAACTATATATAGAACAACTCTGATGCTGGAGAAAAAGTTTCTGTTAGATTTCTCACTCGAGCTCGATGCCGGAGCCCCTGGAATCCGACGCGTAAACTGTTAGCAACTAAATTCTTCTCACACGGAAGAAGCGTTTCGACCAGGAAGAAAACGGAAAAAGAACGCGGAGTTGCTCCAGGAGCCCACGGGAGCCGGTCTCGGTCGAGTTTCACATCGAGCCACGTCTTCGAATCCCGGCGTTTGCCCTGGAATCGAAGTACCGGAAACCGTCGATCCTCCATTTTGGCGAACGGTGCGCGGCAACGAAAAATCGGAATGTCGGAGGCAGTAAAACGGCGAACGGAATTGCGCGCTGGCAATTTCGCCCGGCAATCTTGGAGTTTCGAGGTCGATCCGGCAGCTCTATTCTTTTCCCTTCGACGAAAGAACCGTACCGCGGCAACAGGAAAGACAATAAACGACCGACGGCGGAGAAAAACTGCATCTCGCGGCGGAGGATCGACGGAAAGGCGAGCCCCGGTACGTACGAGGAAATTGCGAAAATCTTGAAGAGGCAGTTTCGCTGGGCGGAGTGGCCTGCTAAACAAACAGTAGTTGGCGAGCGAGCAATCGCGCGCGAACCGGAGGATCGTTCGAGGCGGAGGAGAAGATGATCGCTCCGGCCTGCGAGGTGAAAATTGCCGGTTTGCCGCGGCGGCTTCGACTCGTTTCAGAATGCGTCTTCGGAATGGTAGCCGGCAGCAGCGTTCGGTTTTATCGACGCAAATTGCCCGGAAAGTCGGCTATCCTATCCGCACGTGTGCCCTCCGCTTCCACGGTTTCTTTTTCGCCCGTACCTCCGCAACGAGATACTTTGAAATCGTTTGTTTGCACAGGCTATGGCTCCGAAACGGACTACCAGCCACCAAATCACGGGGGAGTCTTTTACGGTGCTCTTTCCCCTTTTTTATTTTACGGCTTCGTGCGGCACGAGGTTATTAGCAAACGCGATATTCAATCGTATTATCAAGTTTTACGTTCTGTGCTAATAGCGAAACATGATCACAGACTCGCAGATTGACAAAAGTGAAACTTATTTAAAATATTTTTAAAACATAACAAATATTATCTACGATACTATGTATAACAAAAACTCACGAGACTTTAGAGTTTCCATCGAGTAAATGTGAAAGCGTCGATTACGAAACATGACTTGAGTCGTACTTTTACTTTTAAAGACCTTGTAAATTATTGAATAATTAACTGGTGCTA